CCAATCAGAGCAGAGTAGGCTCTCAGAAAGGCGGGGTTTAGAGAGACTGAATCGTTTAATGAACCGTTTCAGACACTGTGAGAAGAGAGGTGATGCTACAGGGTATACAATGAGAAAATTAACATTTCATGTTGAACTTTTAACGTTTTTATCTTTTTTACCTTGAACCTGTTGTAGAAAGACCTCCAAAACAAAATTAGCAACCCCTTGATATACTTTTAAATGACTGTTTAGACATTAATTTGCTCAATATATGGTTTAACAAATAATATGGACCTAGATCTAAGATTGATCATTTTCGACTTTTTCTTGAGTCTGAAAATTATTAGTTGAAATTGTTTACAATACAGAAACTTATATAACTTGCTAGTATACACTTTAGCCCCATTACCAAGAATACTCTGGATCTCATGAAACTCTAACGGTCAGTAGGACAACAAACATGCAACACTTAAGTAACACGTGGAGGGGAAACCCAGCCAAGATGTTTGAAGTTGTTTAACGCTCAGCTGTGCCTCAGGGCAAAGGCGAGGACACATGCATCTGTCCAACTCAATAACAAATAACACATCCAGACCAGACGTTTCTGGTACTGAGCCAGTGCTGTTTGGGTGTGTGTTTGCAGAATTGATATTAGCAAATAGTTTGTTTAATGTGGTTAAGCTACTTGTGTATTATCAATATCTGAATAAATGAAATGCATACCGTGATAATTTTTTCTTGAGTTTGTTAATAATTTTTCTTTTTTATTCTTGTTAAACATAATTTTGCAACTCACTGTCAAGTATAATGCATCAGCTAATAACCTAATAAGATTCACAGGTAAAACTCTTCCTTATTTTGTAAGGGCACGATTTAAATCATGCCATGAGGAAACAAAAGCCTAGTTGGCAGGTCAATAAAGTCAGATGTAATAATTGTTTTTCTTTTTGTTAAACCAGATTTCTGCGCTCTGTAGAAGGCAAATACAATACATAGCTAATTAGAAGACTTTTAAATGATGTAGTTGACTTTTACAAATATTTTTACAGTTTTTAACTTTGGGATCAGCAATATGTTTTTAAAAGAAGCATCTTATTTTCACCAAGGCTGCATTTATTTCATTTAAAAAAAAACTGTAAAAACAATAATATTTTGAAATACTATTACAATTTAAAATAGCTGTTTTTTATTCTAATATATTTTAAAATGTAATTTATTACTGTGATCAAAGCTGTATTTTCAGCATCATTATTCCAGTCTTCAGTGTCAGATGATCCCTCAGAAATCATTCTTAAATGATTTGCAGCTCAAAAAACTAAGTCTTTCTATTATCTTTAAAATTTCTTATTATTATCGATGTTGAAATCAGTTGTGCTGCTTAATGTTTTTGAGGAATACATTTTCAGAATTCTTTGATTAATTGAAAATTTAAAAGACCAGCATTTAATTAAAATAGAAATTGTTGGTAACATTATATTTAGTCACTTTTTATCATTTTAATGCATACTAGATCAAAAGTATTTTTTTTTTTTTTTTTTTTTTTTTTAAACATCTTTTTGACCCCAACTTTTGAGAGATGTATCAAAATGTGTCTCCAAATGATAAAAAAATGGACACAATGTGTTTTGTTTTATTTTACTCTTGTTATAGCATTTTAAAGTTTAAAAAATAACCACTAGTGAGAGTGAAACATCCTTGCATGAAGGGTGTTGCTAGCACCAACTTCCATTCTTCAAATATGAACTAATTGATCTGTTATGTAACAAACCACAAAACAGGCCATTGGTGGAAATAGGAAAACCTTTTTTGAAGCTTTCACTGGCTTCACTGCTTGTGCTTACCTCTTTAATGAGTTCATCTTCGTCTGGATGGTTGAGGTTTCTTGACATGTGCCCCAAAGGTCCAAGGGTTTGATCCTCAACGACGTCATAACCCAGTTCTCCTCCATTTCCCAACCTAATGCTTAGCTCTGAGGGTTCCTCCACATCTTCAAGTCCTCCAGCTTCCTCAAGGAGACCTACTTGACCTGGAATGGAGACTCCATTGTCAGGCTCCCTGTGGACCAACCAGGCCTCCAACTCTGGGGCTGGCACCTCCAGGCGGTCTAGGGAACGTACCCAACTCAGAAGCCTGCGGGCTGTGAAGAACCCGTCTAGGTCTACGCTTTTTGGGTGCAGGTTATATCCATCCAGGATGTTTCGGAGATTGTGGAATTGAGTCTGAGTTAGAGCTAAACTTGGGCCCTGAATGATTTCGCCAATGGGGGGCAGATAGGGATCCACGTCCACACGCATCCCGAACAGACTGAGAAGAATAGCCACTTGAAGCAGGCCCTCAGTTAGGTACTTCTTTAGGTCAGGCATGGCCGAAAACAGTGCCAGGAGCTTTCAAAACTCTCCAGAAATAAAAAGTGTTTTTTTTTTGTTCATAGGGAATTTTTTCCCCCACAAAATCCTGAAATAGAGAAGAAGAATGATATAACCTGATATCAGAATTGAACACATTATCAGTCAGTGTTTTAATGCAAATTAAAAGAGTTGTTGCTTAGATTAACTCTTCTCTTGTGTTTGGTCTTTTTTTTTAATGTAGGCTACTCAATAAAAAATATAGGCTATTTCAAAAATCACTATCTTTATTGTTTTTTATCAATATAGCTTCAAAAAGTGGGAGAGGCATGCATTACATCTGAGAGATGTAAAATACTTAGAATGGAAATTGAAAATCATAAGTTATAAATGTTGATGAGAAAAACCAAGGTCACTGTAAAGGCTGAGACCTCATTAAGTATTGTTAAAGGGACAGTTCCCCCAAAAATGAAAATTCTGTCATAATTTACTCACCCTCAAGTTCTTCCAACCCTGTATACATTTCTTTGTTCTGCAGAACTCAAATGAAGATATTTTGAAGAATGTTTGTAACCAAACAGTTATGGGGCACCATTGACTTCCATAGTATTTTTTCCCCCCATACTATGGAAGTCAATGGGGCCCATCAACTGTTTGGTTACAAACATTCTTCAAAATATCTTCCTTTGAGTTCAAAAGAAGAAAGAAACTCGTACAGGTTTGGAACAACTTGAGGGTGAGTAAATGTTGACCGAATTTTCATTTTGGGGTGAACTGTCCCTTTAAGTTCCTGGCCTCTGATTGGTCAATGCAGCGTTCCACCTATTATATCATTCTGTTATGTCAGGAACTTTCTCTAGCGGAAGGATGCTTTTTTGTATTCATAATCTTGTTGAACAATATTAGAAAGGCAGTCATAACTGAAAGATTTACAAACAAAGACTGAGATTACATTAAATTGTCACATCAGGCTACATATCATACCAAACAATAAGTTAAGACAAAGGAAAGAAAGAAAATAAAAATAAATAAATGAATGAATAAAAAGAAAAATAGGAGGTTTTTTAATATTATAAAACCCAAAATCTTCCAATAAAGAACACAAATACATTTCTTTGGTATAGGCTTTCATCCCTAGGAAGGATGCATTATGAATTTATTGGATACAATTTCAATGAAAAATTGCACTTTAAAAAGCAATGAGGCACGCGAGGTAGGCAGCGAAACCTCGAGAATCTTCTGCTATCTTCTTGACTCGAGTCAACAAGACTGAAGATCGCTGCAATCATCAACGCGTGACACACTCCCGTTGACCCACTTATTGATTTTTTTCATAACTAGGCAACAGGCGACTTGAGTCAGCTATAACGTAATCAAAACTGTTCTCGTGAAATAAACATTAGAGGTTCAAGTGGTCAAATAAATGAGTAGCTAATTGAATAAAATATTAAATTTCACAATATTAACGTACAATAATAGTCTACAATTAGCTATTTAAAAAATTGTCCTAACATGTGACAGGATTAAGAGCAATGCAAACATGCACATTTACAGTTAGTTAATTCACAATATTAAAATAGGAATAGGCCTACCTTTACGCTGATAAACTTAGATTATTTCAATCATTTTTAGCCTAAGTGATTAATATTTTCAAATGAACGATGTAGAGAGCTATTAGTTTCATTACATTTCGCACTATGCTCGCAGTAGCCTATCTGCTGTTTAGACTTAGGCTATCAATAAGTTAGTCAAAACATTACCTTGTCTACGGACACAGAGTTCTGGTAGTCGCTATATAAAGGCGTGAGAGCAGGATGCTCCTCTTGGATGATCTGAATCACACAACTTCACATGCTCTATAACAGTGTGCGAGTGTATTTATGGGGCAGTGGCGGAAAGTATTGGTCTCCTCCCTACATGACGTGATGAGCCTTTCAGTTTTCTTTCGGCAAGACCGCGCGTGCTCGCCCAGTTTGTCAGTGTTTAGGACAGATTAGGCTACTGATTTTTCCAATAACACATCAGATGTGTTTTTCAGAGCTTTCCTTGTTTATCATAAGTCAGACCATGAAACAAGTGTCACAGGATAACTGACAGGACAAAATGATAACAATAGAACTGTTTTATGAGCTACTGTATGATGGCAAAATGCAGTACATTATGCAATAGTAGGCTATTTAGAGGAATACAAAAATGGTTTAACAAACACCATTAACATAACATACAACATTAGGCCTATAATATATAACATTTAAAGGGGGTATGTGGGGATATGCAGATTAGCCTATTATTATTATTTTTGTTATTATTAAGACATTTTAAGTAGGCTTATGTATTTACAGTAAGCTGAGTGTAAGCAAGATCCTTTTTCCCTGAACCTTTTCAGCTTTGCTGCCCCCTGCCGCGCTAGTAGCTATAGGTGACGTTACATAATTCATTGGCTTACAGCTGTCGGTCATTATCTATTCATTGCACGTCTGACTCCTGTGTGATGTGGAAGTCACGTGAAACTTTCTATGCAAAACGGGTTACTCACTAGTAGAGCAAATGACATGACGCCAAAATTATTAATTTCGTTCCCAAGACTTCCCTCAAACGAGCTTACTATGAAAGCCCATAGACAGTAAAAGAAAGCCGCCATTGTGGCTTCTGTAAGGCAGCGCTGCCCAAGGTTTGAGCCAACATGGCGGCTTGAGGGCTGTAGTTGCAGACACGCCCACTGTGAGTCAGAGGGTTTAGGAGCGCTACTGTAATGACAGCTCAAAGCTGTCCACGTCAACACTGTGCTGCTACCACCATGGACTCCACGGCTCTGGTAAGATATGTGTGCCATTTAATCGCTGTTTTTATTCATTTAATTCATTGTACACGTTGAAATATTAGATTGACGACTGGCTTTAGCAGCTTGTGAGCAGTTTTTCATTTGGAATCTATGGCGAAATATGTTTTCGACAGCAACTATTTTCTCTTTATATTATTCTTAGGCGTAGCGTGCTAAGTTGGAACAATATTTAAGAAACTCTACATTTGTCAACTACTGGAAATGTGAGTCGTCTTGTAATATAAATGCTCGTGCATGTATTTTTCCTCGCGAAAGCGAAATCGTTGGCAGAAACCGATACGGTTTCTGTTTACGAGCGCACGAAAATTAATGTGAGCAAACCTTAACATTATTTTTCAGATTATGAATGGATCATTGTAGTGCACAATGCGAATGTATAGCATAGTGTATCCACTTCTTCCACGTCATTCTCCACTTGTGTTCAGTTTGTTCTGAAAGTTTTTTTTTTCCTTCGGTCTAGTCGTGGAAGATGTGGCTTTTCAAAAGTGGACGTGGATGCCACGTCCTCGATGCGTCTCTGCCTGAGCGGAGCGCGCGCGTTGCCTGTTTGTTGCGCGTGATTGATTCCACAGGTGGATACTTGGAGGAGATCAGGGTTATTGCTTGCCATGGACTTTTTTAATACTCTTATGAGTTGACCTATATAGACAACATAAATTCCAACTGCAAATTATTAAAACTGTAGCTGTGGAAAAAATATTCTACAAAATAAATCCCTTTTAATGTGGGGGAAAGGGGACATTTAAAGTACATTTCTTTATGATTTTAAACATTGTAGTAGACGAAGGATGACTTTTAAAAATATATTAAAAAAGTTAAATACAGTGATACATTATATATTAGGCTATAGTTCCTTTAAAAGGGTGATGTAACAAGGTTGACAGTTTTACAGATAATTTATTCATTGCATTGTAAAACAAAACAAAAAGGCTTTAAACAAGGCTTAAACAAGGCTTTCCCTTGTTTAAGTCATTGTTTACATACAATAGAGCCCTTACTTGGATGGAATGGATATGCTTCACATTTTATTGTTTTAATGAACAAAATATATTAGTTAAATGGTCATTGGTAACACTTTGCCTTATACTGTGAAACAGATATTATAATTTACAAAGGGCGAAGTTTCATTGTTGGGCCCTGAAGGTCTGTGTCTGGAGACAGGATGCTCTTGTATTCCAACTTGATGATCTGAAAAGATGACCAAAGAATAGTTTTCTCCTTCTGTTCGCCTGGCTCAAGTTCTGTGATACACTCAGACTTTGAATCAGTGGTAGTCAGTGCATGACAGAACTTTGGCCCGGCCGGACCCAGTCGAGTGAAAGCTAACAAACAGCCTCTTCTAGGCATAATATAATAGCATTTTAAGGTGTATTCATGACATAATAGATACCGTAATGTGAATTATTGAAAATAATGTCGATTTATTTTCAACCAGGAACCCTCGCTGTACACCGTGAAGGCTGTCTTCATCTTAGACAATGATGGAAACAGACTGCTTTCAAAGGTGCTTAGACCCCTTCCCTCTTTTGATAATCTTTCTTTTTACAGATGGAAAAAGATCATCATGAATAACTGTTTATGTACTGTGCAATTATGTATGTACTCATGTGCAATTACAGTACTATGATCTAGAGCTCTACCCTTCCATGAAAGAGCAGAAGAATTTTGAAATGAACGTCTTCAACAAAACACATAAAGCTGACAGTAAGTTCATTATTTAACAGTGTTTTGCTAACCTTCCCATTAAGTTACGAAAATTAAGAACATTATCAAAGACCAGATAACTTTAAACGAACATTCTATTAACGTTATTGGAAGAACACTTCTTTTTCATAACTTTGAGAGAAGCTTGGCAGAACATTAGCTAAAGTTCTGAGAAGATTCCCTGTTAGCTGGGATACTGCCAAATATTTAGCTTGTAGCGATTAGACCTGATGGGCTGCTTTATGTTCCAACTCAAGCTCTTCTCTTCAGATCAATGTTTCCTACTAAATTCAGGGGAGTTTACAGACTCTATTGTGTCGATTAGGACCAGATAGGTACTCTAAGAAGTGTCCCAGATCAAGTTTCAAACTAGTTTACAGTGGTTCATGGTCGTTAGAACTTGCAGTTGCAAGGTTCCTCTGGGGCTTGTAGGTCAGATTACTGGAAAACTGGGTGGAGAACCTGTTCTAGAATTCATAAATGTTTTTATTACTTTTGCCCTGTAGGGTGAAGGAGTTTGACACCAGGATAACAAAACCACCCTGATCCTTTCACCTGTTTAGGTGTTAACTGTTTTAGCTTTGTCAAAATACACACCTGTATTTGTCTCTTTAAAGGTGAATCCGAGGTGAAACTGTCCGATTTGTTTAAATTTCTTGGAGTCGTTCTTGACGGAAAAGTGGGCAGAAATAGCTTCTGACCTCCAAATGTTTTGCTTCAAATGAAACTTTTAGTAATCAGACACCCCTTTTAGGACAGCATCGCAAAGTAAAACACTGTTCTGTGCTCATATTTCCTAGTACGTATTAATAGACAAAACTGAAACTGATCTTGAATTAGCACTGGAATTTTATGTGAAATGCAGTCACTGGACCTTTTTATGCCTTTAAGCACTGTCTCATTCTACCCAGCTAACTGGGAAAGTTCTCAGAACTTTGGCTAATGTTCTGGCAAGGTTTTGTCAAAGTTGAGAACAAAACGCTCTTCTAGTAATGTTAATAAAATGTTCCTTTAAAGTTATCTGGTCTTTAATAACGTCCTCAAAGTGTTAGCACAAAAATTGTATTTATACGTTTTGATACGACATGCTTTAAATCGGACATGGAACGTGTTTTTCTGAAATTTTTTATTTGGATGTTTCTCTGACGTTTTTTTAAACATTGCTCTCATCATGTTTGCAAAATGATAAAAGGGAATTTTTCCTTTTTCCTCTAATAACGAAGAAAAATATAAAATAAACTTGATGATTTTAACGTTCATACAACATTCAAAAATATGTTTTTTATAGCTGAAATCAGGGGTGTCCAAACTCGGTCCTGGAGGGCCACTGTCCTGCAATGTTGTCCTCTAACTTGCCTCAACACATCTGTCTGGAAGTCTCTAGTATCCCTATAGACCTTGATTAGCTGCTTCAGGTGTGTTTATTTGGGGTTGGAGCTGAACTCTGCAGGCCCTCCAGGAGCAAGATTTGACTGCATCCATTTTGTGGAAGAACATTGTTTTGGTTGTGCTTTTGTGACTGTGTGGATGAATGGGATTCTTTCTCAAAACTAAAGAGAGGGAGATTACTGCTCATAAAACATTAGCTGAAGACGTTACTGTAGCTTTAATAGACATGCTACTTCATTAAAAATAACTTCCAACACCGCTACAACAACCATAATGAAAAGAGCCTTCACAATAAATAATGCTTTACAATGAACTCTGTTGGAGAGCTACATATGGCAGTTTATCTGTTCAATAAAATACCTTACTCACCTGGCTGTTGAGTGATACAAACACCATCTCTGCATCACTTTTACAACATTTCCAATCCCTCTGTTCTCTCACCATTTTCAACAAGCAAAGCCGATGTTGATTCTTGTTTTATTACGAGCTCTGTCGCGGCTCTCTCAGCATTTTTAAAAAAAACGGGTGATTTCCGGAGGTTCAAGAATCAGCTTCTCCTTCTCCATGTCAATCTTTCTTGCTCGTTGTGACAACTAACCTATACCACACCATACATGTGTATATACGTCCATACGTATAGCCGGAGCAACTTTTCTCTATTTACAGATATGATGAGACGCACACGGGCGAGTGACATATTTTTAAAACATATTTTTGTAACGCTGGGTATCTCTATCATGTTGCCCATTAAATAAATTAAAAAATCTATAAGGTTAATCAAGACTAGCTTTGTTGGCTTGACAAAGACTTGTCTGAAAGTGTAAAAAAAGAATAGATCATTTCTCTAATGTTTCTATAACTGAATATACACTTATGTACAAATAAATATATGTATATCTAAATAAATATTCAGATATACAAATATATATATATATATATATATAAATTAATGTATATCTTATGTATTTTAAGTATTCTGGTTCATGTGTGTGCAGATGAGATTGCCTTCTTAGAAGGGATGACGATAGTCTACAAGAGCAGCATAGACTTGTTCTTCTATGTAGTCGGCAGCGCTCAGGAGAATGAGGTAAGTCATGTATGCGGATGAGTTGGCCTGTAATTGGCTGGAATGTTGTCCATGCTAAAATCGTGTCACTCATTTTGCATGTGACAGTAATTCGTTATGACCATTATAGAGAGCTGGTCGTTTTTGGACAGTATTTGACCTCTCATTTTGTTTCTCTGGATACAGATATAAAAGAAAAGTCAGCTGTGAATCATTCCATTTCCTTTTCTGACTCTCTCTTCCTGTATTTGTCTGATCCTCAGCTCATGTTAATGGCAGTGCTGAACTGCTTGTTTGAGTCTCTCAATCAGATGTTGAGGTGAGTTCATGCTCTGAGGTATATTATATTATATATATATATATATATAGATACTAACGTTTAAAAGTTTTACTTTTATTCAGGGATGCAATACATTGATCAAAAGTGACAGTAAAGACATTTATAATGTTACAAAAGATTTATATTTCAATTTTTTACTTTCTATTCATCAAAGAATCCTGAATATAGGTATCACCGTTTCCACAAAAAAGATTTTCAACTGATAATAATAATAAATGTTTCTTGAGCATCAGTTCAGCATTTTAGAATGATTTCTGAAGGATCATATGATTAATTCCTGGTGAAAATTAGGAATAGGATTAAATAACATTTAAATATAAATGCCATAATATATATATATATATATATATATATATATATATATATATAAATAAATAGAAAATTGTATTAATATTTGATTAAATAAATGCAGCCTTGGTGAGCATATTAGACACTTCTTTAAAAAAACATTACAAAAATATTAACCAACCCCAAACTTTTCAACAGTAGTGTGAAATGAAATCTGAGGCCATGTAATATTAGGACAACACTACGGCCAGTATATTTTGACTGACACCATGTGCCGCTCAGCTGCCCTTTAGGCTGATTCATGTCAGAATTCACAGAATTCTAGGCATGCACCCCTTCTGTGGTAACCATGGAAACTGGTGAAGGGCAGCACAAGATGTCAAGGATGTCACAGTAGAAGACTTGTGTGCTCAGGTGTCTGCTTCTTTTCCAACAGGAAGAATGTGGAGAAAAGGACTCTGCTGGATAATATGGATGGAGTGTTCCTAGTGGTAGATGAAATCATCGATGGAGGGTAAATATTAAATAATAAATTATTCTCTTTTACGACCTGCGCATTCACTTAGAACAACAAGAGAACATGCACTACCATTCAAAAGTAAGATTTATGTTTTTAAAATTTTGTATGCTCACCATGGCTCCATTTATTTGATCAAAAATACACTTAAAAAAATATATATTTCTGTGATGTCAAAGCTGTATATTTAGGATAATTACTCCAGTATTCAGTGTCACATAACCCTTTAGAAATCATTCTTATATGATTTGATACTCAAGAAACATTTATTATTATTATCAATGTTGAGAACAGTCTATTTTTTTTTCAGGATTTATTGATGAATAGGAAGTTTAAAAGAATGGTCACTTTTGGTCAATTTAATCTTTTTTTGCTGAATAAAATTGTTATTAAAAGAAATTGTACCGACCCCAACTTTTGAATTGTAGTGTGCTGTTCTTAATTGCACAAATTGTAATATAGATCTGTGTTGTAATTGTATAGTGTGGCCTTTAAAGGTGATGGGTATAACAATATATTAAACAATACATACCACATAACAATATTAAATTTAAGTAAACAAAATAAAAATGCTCTATTTTGCCTATATTTGCTATTAAGTAAAATATATGATTATACATTTTTAAATTATAGGCCACAGTTAAAGAGGTCATGACATGGATTATTTTAATATGCTCCTTGAGGTTCACTTATAATGTTAATAAAGTTTTTTGCACAAAAGAACCCCAAATATTTATGTGTAAAAACTATTATTTTCAACCTTCATTCTGAAATGATCTGTTTTTAAGGCGCGGCTCCTTTAAGGCTTATCAGTAAACGGTCACTGTTATGATTGGCTAATGTCATTGCATAGAAAACGGTATCAATGCCCAGTCGTGAGTAAGTGTTTCGAAAACATTATCCAAATAAAACCATCATTTAAAAGACAAAGAATTATGAATTATCATCTTAAAACAAAAGTTTCTTTGCTAACTCTCCATTACACTGTGCCTTGTTGACAAAACAATCTGCAGTCAAATGCTCTGAACAAACATAACATTTTCCGACATGATCCAGGACGCCATTAAAATAAACCATCCATTTTTTTTCGACGCCGGGATCCTTCTGAAGTCTGTACAGAGACTCAAACTAGCTGTTTAAACTGGACGTGTCTAAGCGAACGTTCTTTCACTCTTCCATTTGTCCTGTTGTTGGCAGACTGAAGTCATGGAGCATGTCAGAAACTGAACATGCATCTGTATATTGTACATTAGATAGTGATTATAATGGTTTCTATTTGCTTTTGACACGATGCTCGCATCCGGGGCTGGTTGCATAAACTGCTAAGACTAGTCTAACAAGTTAGTCATAATTATTTTGTTTTCTTTAAGACTGTTTATAACCTTTGTTTATAAAAAGTCAGGTACATAAAAAGGTGGATTGTTCTAATTTGATACCGAAAATTAAGACGGCTTGCTCCTTGGCTAACTGCTAGGTGGTCAGGCTAACTATAGTTCTTAAAAAGTCTTAACATAATGGCTAGGCCTATATGTTTATGCAACTGGTGGTGAAAATTAAGCTTTTAATGTTTATATGTCTATGTGGTGTTTTTAATATGCTTTAAGACAAGCCATGTGTAAATTTATAAGTCAACACCATTGCGGAATATTTTCTCCTTAAAACTGCAGTGAACCAAAGACAGTCTCAAAAACACAGTTTGAAATTGCTGGTGTGTCTGACGTCACAAACTACCTTTTAACCAATCACGTCAACGTGTGCGAGTGGATCTCTGAGCTGGGCTGCGTTCAGCCCCGACAAAACGTTGCACAACGTTTTTTCAAACATAAACGGTGATGCGTTGAACGCACTGTTCTGATGACGCAAGAGTTGCAACTATGGCAGCTGAGAAAGGCCGTTCTTTGTGAAGAATTTTCGGAGCCTGATGAAGTCGGTATAAATGTGTTTAATACTACAAAATATGCCCAATGTTACAGTTACTGTTTTAATACCCTGTATTTTCTTTCTCACTTTTAGGAAAAGCACTTAATTACCATTGTTTATTTCTATACCAAATGTCATTCACTTGCAATGAAGCTAAAAATATAAACAACTACATCATTATGTTGATATCCTATATTTTTATAATAAAACTTACGACAAACATGTCTTCTAATATCCTCAGTTGTTGCGTATACCGAGCTGCATCGAACACATTTGTTAATTACTTTACTAGCAAAACGTTGCGCACCGTTTTGAACTTGAACGTGCCCCTGGTGTGAGTGAGTGGAGGCGGGGCTAATTTGCATATTCATAGAACTGCATATAATAAATGAGGCAAGGGTGTAGAGTTAAATTCAAGCTATTTTAATGCATGAAGAATTTTTTTTTCAAGGAAAATTTTTTTTTAAATATGTAAATTTTGGTGATCTAATGTGAGTTTTGAGGGATAAAATGATTGACTACAGGGGGACTTTAAGCGACTGAATGATAGTGGCCGGGGGCCTATGGTGCAATGATGTATAACTATTTGTCAATGTCTTGCTCTGGAGGCGGGCATATGCAAATGTGTTTGCTTGTTTGACATCACAGATCCTGCAATGTCAAGTTGTTTTGGAGCTTGATTTAAATAAATGCTTTGTTAATAATGAGGAGGACATTTTAAACTCTGAAACTAGCAGGATGTTTTAGTCATATAAAGACATGTCAAAAAATCAAGGCATTTGACTTCTCATGTCATGACCCCTTTAAATGAACATGAACAGATAATGTGTACAGCAGTAAGAATGTCAGCAATGACTGATAACAGCCTTATCTTAATGAAATTTACTTTTTAAATAAACCTTTAATTTTATTTCTAAATAATATTTTATTTGACTAAATGTACCAGCTTTTAACTGTTAAAAGGACTTTCTTCCATGAGCAGGCTGATTTTATTTGGTGATCGTTTAGACTTTTTAGATTCAATTTTAGTGATGGTTCTTCTCCATCACAGCTGTCAACCAATATGGATTTATTATTATTTTTATTTTTTTACTTAATTTACTGCATGAACGTCATCAGGGGGAAGATAGTGGCCCAATAAGATCCACCCATAAAATAACAAATGTACTTAATTCTAAACTTCATTCATATGTTGCTCTTCAACTTGTTTACAGGGTGATCTTGGAGAGTGACCCCCAACAGGTCCTTGAAAAGGTCAACTACAGGGTAAGAGACAGTATCAGTGCTTGTTTTCTGTATCTATGAGTTGCGCTTCACAATGCACTGAGAGTTTGTTATTAAACCCCAGACATTCGTCAGATATATCTATAGTATACTGCAAGTCAGCACAGTTGCAAGCTCTTTACCCAGAATCACCGCTTCCTGTCTTTAGAAATTACCTTGGCACATCATTTCAGCTTGACAGGAAGTTCCCTTTTCTTTTTGCCCAGTTTAGTCATGCACGCAGACTAAGTGTCCCCTCTCTTGCCCCGTCAGTGTGTGTCGGAGCAAGCGTATGGCTTCGTCCTTTTTGATTACATCACTGGTAACGTGGAGGGCCAAGGAGAGAGACGAGAGCTACTGTAGCTCTCCTTCAGCCCCCCTTCCTCTCTCCCTCCGCTTTAGAGACGAGAGAGAGAGGGGGATGAGGGTGAGAGAGTGGGCAGGTAACTGCATGGCATGCACAAGCGTGTGTGAGGCTCACAAGAGGAACCGCTGTAACCGAGGGAGCCGATCAATAATAAGAAAATGTCCCGCTGACATCTGACCGTAAAGCTTTTGCTGCGGAGTGGGAGACACTGTCACATCTCTGAGTTACGCTCACATAAACTCACTCAGTAAATGGCCGGCATGATTTCAGCAGTCCACACTTCTGATTTATGCTGTTATGGGTTGGATTTGTTTTACTTCAGTGCAAGGGGGAAGACCCTGTCCCACTTCAAATAATATTTAAAAATAAATCAAAATACAAATAGATAATAAAGATCTAGTCTCAGACAAATGTATTTTGTAAATAAATCTTTAAAATGTTTTATTTTGAATGAATTGGAAAAATAAATGAATTAAATGTAATGGATTATTTTGTATTAGTAGTAAAATTGCAATGTATTGTCTGTGAATACATTTTAGCAGCTATGGAACATTTTATTTTGTTATGTTTTAGACTTTTTAGACTCAATTTTAGTGATGGTCCCAACCAATATGGATTTTATATATATATATATATATAGCTCTTTACCCCTTGATGACGTCCCTGTACTGGAACAACAACAAAAAATATATATATATATATAAATTAGGGCTGTCAAATGATTAATCACGATTAATCACATCCAAAATAAAAGTTTTTTTTACATAATATATGTGGGTGCACTGTGTATAATTATTTTGTATATATATAAATACACACACATGCATGTATATTTAAGAAAAAAAATATAATTTATATATAAAATATTTATATATAATATAAATTATATATAAATCTATATACAGTATATACATGAAAATATTTCTTAAATATATACAAGCATGTGTGTGTATTTATATATATATATATAAAATAATTGTACACAATGCACCCACATATATTATGTAAAAAAAACTTTTATTTTGGATGTGATTAATCACGATTAATCATTTGACAGCCCTAATATATATATATATATATATATATACAGGTCCTTCTCAAAAAATTAGCATATTGTGATAAAGGTCATTATTTTCCATAATGTAATGATAAAAATTAAACTTTCATATATTTTAGATTCATTGCACACCAACTGAAATATTTCAGGTCTTTTATTGTTTTAATACTGATGATTTTGGCATACAGCTCATGAAAAACCCAAATTCCTGTCTCAAAAAATTAGCATATTTCATACGACCAATAAAAGAAGCGTTTTTAATACAAAAAAAAAGTCAACCTTCAAATAATTATGTTCAGCTATGCACTCAATAGTCAATACTTGGTCGGGAATCCTTTTGCAGAAATGACTGCTTCAATACGGCGTGGCATGGAGGCAATCAGCCTGTGGCACTGCTGAGGTGTTATAGAGGCCCAGGATGCTTCGATAGCGGCCTTAAGCTCATCCAGAGTGTTGGGTCTTGCGTCTCTCAACTTTCTCTTCACAATATCCCACAGATTATCTATGGGGTTCAGGTCAGGAGAGTTGGCAGGCCAATTGAGCACAGTAATACCATGGTCAGTAAACCATTTACCAGTGGTTTTGGCACTGTGAGCAGGTTCCAGGTCGTGCTGAAAAATGAAATCTTCATCTCCATAAAGCTTTTCAGCAGATGGAAGCATGAAGTGCTCCAAAATCTCCTGATAGCTAGCTGCATTGACCCTGCCCTTGATAAAACACAGTGCACCAACACCAGCAGCTGACATGGCACCCCAGACCATCACTGACTGTGGGTACTTGACACTGGACTTCAGGCATTTAGGCATTTCCTTCTCCCCAGTCTTCCTCCAGACTCTGGCACCTTGATTTCCGAATGACATGCAAAACTGAGCAACAGTCCAGTGCTGCTTCTCTGTAGCCCAGGTCAGGCGCTTCTGCCGCTGTTTCTGGTTCAGAAGTGGCTTGACCTGGGGAATGCGGCACCTGTAGCCCATTTCCTGCACACGCCTGTGCACGGTGGCTCTGGATGTTTCTACTCTAGACTCAGTCCACTGCTTCCGCAGGTCCCCCAAGGTCTGGAATCGGTCCTTCTCCACAATCTTCCTCAGGGTCCGGTCACCTCTTCTCGATGTGCAGCGTTTTTTGCCACACTTTTTCCTTCCCACAGACTTCCCACTGAGGTGCCTTGATACAGCACTCTGGCAACAGCCTATTTGTTCAGAAATTTCTTTCTGTGTCTTACCCTCTTGCTTGAGGGTGTCAATGATGGCCTTCTGGACAGCAGTCAGGTCGGCAGTCTTACCCATGATTGCGGTTTTGAGTAATGCAACTTTTAAAAGTTTTTAAAAGCCTCAGGAATCTTTTGCAGGTGTTTAGAGTTAATTAGTTGATTCAGATGATTAGGTTAATAGCTCGTTTAGAGACCCTTTTCATGATATGCTAATTTTTTGAGACAGGAATTTGGGGTTTTCATGAGCTGTATGCCAAAATCATCAGTATTAAAACAATAAAAGACCTGAAATATTTCAGTTGGTGTGCAATGAATCTAAAATATATGGAAGTTTAATTTTTATCATTACATTATGGAAAATAATGAACTTTATCACAATATGCTAATTTTTTGAGAAGGACCTGTATATATATATATATATATATATATATATATATATATTAGGGCTGTCAAACGATTAATCGCATCCAAAATAAAAGTTTGTGTTTACATAATATATGTGTGTGTACTGTGTATAATTATTTTTAATACATAAATACCCACACATGCATGTGTATTTAAGAAATATTTGCATGTATATACTGTATGTAGACTGAATGTAGCCTATATATAATGTATATTTTATATAAATATAAAAATGTTATATATAAATAACATAGTTTTCTTAAATATATACATGTGTGCATTTATATACAAAATAATTATACACAGTACACACACATATATTATGTAAACACAACTTTTATTTTGGATGTGATTAATCGTGATTAATCGTTTGACAGCCCTAATATATATATATATTAATTCTATTAATTTAATTAAAAAATTAATTGTAAAATTGCAGTCTATTATCTTTGAATACATTTTAGCAGCTAGGGCACTTTTTGTGATTTTGAATATTTTGGTCAATTTTAGCAATGGTCCTGTTCTAGTATAGTGCTCAACCAAATATGGCTTTTTAATGGGCAGTGATTATATGATTGATGGCTGAAAATAATGCTGGTAATTGATTGCTGAAATAATGCCATAATAAACTAAATGATGACAAATGCATTCAAATGCATACTTATTTTACATCATATTTCCAAAATAAAAAAGTGCTTAACTGACAAAGAAAATGTTTAATATCCATTATCAAGGGCAAACTAACCCTTCTGTTAAGGGGGCAAGCTGGCATTATAATCAGCCGAAGATATTAACAGATGATTTTGGAACAAATGTTCTCTATATATTTTCTCTACGGCTTTGGGACACTATTTTTGCCCTTTAGTGATGTTTAGTGGCAGATGAGTTGTGGTGTGTTATTGATCTTAACTTTCACTTTGCTATAGAGTAACTAAGTTTGAAACATCTTGCACGATTTGTCTGGCTTGGTTGGTTGCGGTTTATGACAGTTAATTTTGTAATTGTAATTTGTCCTGTTTTTGGTTACTTGCAGGCAGATGACAACCCATTATCAGAACAGAGTGTGGCACAGGTATAAACATACATATAAAAACATATAAACACACAGAAACTATAATCACAGACACTTTTCACACCTGTTAACGTTTGTTGTGAAACATTTTAAAACTCCACACTAAAAGCTCTGAAATGTTTCCCTCTCTGTCTAACTGTCATTAACGCCTGTCGATTAACATCATTATCACCTGTCTCGCTCTAACCTTTGCCACTAACTCTAACCTTGACAGCACATCACTGAGAAACTGGCTCTCACCTCTAATGTAAGTGCATGAAGGCTCACTCACACACACACACACGTGTATGCGGATACTTTTAAGCGCTCAAAAATGAAAAATTTGATATTTTGGGTAAATCTTTCAAATATTTTGTTAGAGTGACAACAGATGCGTAGTATGGGACTGAAACTAATCTAAAGTGAAGTTTATTTCTGAAAGAGACTGCTGTAAAGAAACTTCCAGTCTAATACGGTGGTCTTCAGATGCCCCCTTGTGGCCGTAATATAAAGTTGTTTAGTTTATTGAGGAACTTTTGTCATTAAGAATATAGTTGCTACACCTCATTATTGCACTATTCAGTATTGTGGACATTCTTTTAATTGCATCTTTCATTTCATAGTAGTGTTTATTTAGCATATAAAATTTGGTAGGTATATGAAATATATCCAAAAAACATATTAACTGATTAACAACTAACAACTTAATGTCATGAATTGCACATGTGGAGTAAAGCATCTTTTTGAAGTGTGTTGTAGTTTCTTGGGGTTGATCACTGAATGTTCACTGAAATTCTGTTTTCATTTTTCAGGTGTTCCAGTCAGCAAAGGAGCAGATCAAGTGGTCAATTCTAAAATAAAATATCTTGAAGGAATCTGTAAATTATTGAAAGGGAATTTCAATTTTATATTTAAAATTTTAATTATTTGTAATTTAATTAATTATAGAAGTGCAATCTGTTGTATCTCATGTTTAGTGCTGAAATATTTATATTTTTGTCAAAAGTGGGTCATTTCCGTTTTTTTAAATGATATAAAATGTATTGTCAATGCACAAATAGCCTACCTGTCTATTTCCAAAGCAGCTTTTTTTTTTTTGCTGTTCTGTTTAGAGGTATATTTTGTTTCAGCATGGCCTGTGATATAAATAATCACAGATCGTTAGCCTACTTGATTGTCTAAACTTGTTTTAATCTTGTCAATTGTCATTGTTGTTTTTAAGTCATGGCTGCTTTACAACCTTTTGTCAAAAATATAATTCACAAAGTTTTGTTACATTTGGCTTATAACTAAATCTTTTGCTATTATACATGTAAATTGTTTAAATGAGAAAGAGGCAATTATTATTAAATATAATACAATGAATATAATACAAAATAACAGTGAGTTACATTTACATATGAAAAGCAAAATATATTTTATTTACTAGGATTTATTTTATAGTAACTGTGTAGGCTATCTCCTGAATGTTTTAATAGGAAATAATTGCGGACGAACATGTGACTAAAAACGAATAAATATGTTTTTTTATAGCATTTGTTTGGTCGTTTCTATCTTTTCGCGTCTGTATGACAGCGCGACAATGATGCCGCTTCTCTAT